AGATGGGGACCGATCCATCCAAGGACACGGAAGGAGTCAGAGAGAAAGACCAGCTTTCCCTTGAGCTCCAAGGCAGTGCTGATTCGAAATGTTGTCAAAGGACATGCAAACCCGGTGCCACCAACGCCTTTGCTAGAATTCTCGAGATAGTGTTTGGTTACGGAGACTACATATATGCTTAAGGGTAGAAACACAAGTGTGTGAAGACATTGGCTGCCTCCAAGGCAGCTATTACCCATGGGGGAGGGGGCCGCAGAGCGGCGGGAGTTAGTGGTTTGGTTTCTTGTTTTGCTTCTTTGTTCCAACATTTGATTACAAAAACTTCTAAATATACAGGAGAGTTGAAAGAACATCCTCATGAATCCCTACCCATCCTGATTCTGCCACTAACCATTCACTCTATTTGTTCCGACCCGCCTGTCCATCCTGACCAGCCTGTCCCTCCTTTCATTGCTCTGTGAGCCACTGATCCATTTGACTGTTTGTTGCAAATCCTCCTGTGTGCGTACCATGAAATGCACCAATTTTCTCTTTAGCACTTCAAAGAGGTCTTTTGCACCACATTTGCCCAATGCAGTATGTCATGCACAATGGTTGACTTTGACCACACGCACACACCAGTGTGACCCCACCCCTTGAGCTACACCACGGCCGTCACCTAGAGAACTGTCGCATGCCCCTTCCTGCACAAACCCCAATGGACCTGTCCAGAGGAAACCAACGTTCTCAGTTTCCCCTCATGGCTTAGTCTGGTCTGCTCTAGGACTCACAGACCATACTTTTTTGCATATAATGCTGTCATGGAAACAGTGCATGCATGTACCACACGCAGCATACCTGGAAACTAACGCACAAGCGGATTGCACTGTCCCCCCCCACCCCAAAAAAAAGCCACATTGCCTGTGTGTTATTTGTGTGAAAATACAGTAAGTGAAATGATTCAGTATGTGCTCCCTTGGGGTCCCTTCACTCAGCCTAATGTTTCAGAAATATGTCCGCATTGTTGTGTGTGTTAGTAACACATCTGCTGTTATTGCTGAGTAACAGTCCATTTGTAAGGGGCCCTAGTGGTCAGTGGTTAAACACTCAGCTCCAAACAAAAGGTTAGCCATTCAAACTCCCCAGCTGCTCCAGGGGAGGAAGATGAGGCAGTCTGCTTCCGTGAGGACTCACAGCCTTGAAACTGCTGTGGGGCAGCTCTGCTCTGTCCTACAGGGCTGCTAAGAGTCAGAATCGACTCAACGGCATCTGATAACTGCAACATATGCCATTGGGAGAAAATCCCATCACTTGTTTATGGTTTCTCCTTCACTGGGTATTGTGGTTACCTAGTGCCTACTGCTCTGACAAGAATATACCACAAATGGAATGGCCTTAACAAACAGGAGTTTATCCTCTCACAGTCTGTAGGCTTTAAGTCCAAGTCCAAAGTGCCAGGCTCTAGGGGCTGGGTGAAAGCCCCTCAGCCTTGGGGTCCAGTTCTGCCTCTTGCTTCCAGCCCACTGAAGCTGGAGGCTTTTCTTCACTCAGGTGCTAGCTGCTAAGGCTGACAAACCCAAGGTCAACAAGTAAAAAGGCACAGTCCCAATGTTACCAAACCACATGGCAGGCCATTAATTTAAGTCCATTGTAAGTCCCAAGGTCAGCAAAGCATGGCAGGCTGCTGAACGACACAGCTACATGCAGGGTCCAAGCATGCCATAAGCTAGAGACCATTCCCCAAGGTTTCCACTTATACACAGGCAGCAGACCACATTCCCTAAGGCAGCTACTCAGCTGCTCACAGGAGATTCCACCACAGAGTTGACTGCCATTCTCATCATGGGGAATACTACATCCAGCTGCCCAACCACCCAACAAGGCCTAGCCAAGTTGACACACAAATCACCACACTGGGCCATTTCTATATTTTAGCTAGGAACATTCCTGGCTATGTCTTTCTGGGAACATACGCTTCAATTTTGTGGTGTAGTAAATTACCTGGTATGGCTTTTCTAGCCATAAGTCTTTGTAAACTCCATAGTGGAATTTGCTGTGAGCAACTGAGGAGCTCCTGATTGTAAAAGTTATCCACCTGGGGTATTTCTGTTGGGAGTGGCACAAAGTAACGTTCTGGGAAGTTCCTCTCTCTCAGGTGCTTAGAATTCTGATGTTATGATTGGCTAGTATGGCCACTCTGTCAGGCTCAAAAGGAGGCCTCCTAGAGGTAGAAGTCTCTCTGACTACTGGCTGAGAAGGACGTGCTGCTGAGAGAAACACGCTCCCAAGAGAAACGTGCTCCTGAGAGACACGCACTGCTGAGAGACACGTGCTCCTGAGAGACACATGCTGCTGGGAAAGAGATGCAAGAGACATGCATTGCTGAGACATGCATTGCTGTGAGAGATTGTTGGCTGAGAGACAGTGGGCTGAGAGAGACTGAGCGTTTTTCCTGAAATTGTACTGTAACCTGGTGCTCCCCTAATAAACCTCATAATCTGTGAGTTCTATGTGGCCACTGCAGTGAATTATCGAACCCAGCAGAAAGGTGGTGAGTGCTGAGGGAGGAACAGTTGGTTTCAGGGTTGGTGAAAGGGCTGGAGGGAGGCAGCATGTCTGGCCTTGCAGGAATAGGCCTTGGACTACTGATGGTGATTCTGTCTTCCTCATGCGGTTAGAGGAGATCAGGAGATGTGGCCTCTTTAGCAACTTTTCTTGAATAAACAAGTAGCGTTGGAGTTGCTAGTTAATGAGTAGTTGTGTGTGTAGCTTTATGAGAACCTGCCAACATTCTTGTCTGAAGCGGCTGAACTACTTTATGTTCGTATCAACTCAGCAGGAGAATTCCAGTTGCTTTATATTCTTGCCAATATTTGGTGGTGTCAGTTTTTTAAAAAAGTTTAGCCCTTCTGAGAAACAAGCAGGAATATGCAGTGGAAATGCAGAGAAGGGGGGAATCTGGAAAAATATAGCAAAATGCTTAAGCATGAGAAACGTCACTGTTGTTAGGTGTCAAGTTGTGACCCTATGTACAACAGAATGAAACACTGCCCAGTCGTGTACAATCTTTGCTATGCTTGAGCCCATGATTACAGCCACTGTGTCAACCCATCTATCTCATTGAGGGTCTTCACCTTTATCACTGACCCTCTACTTTACCAAGCATGATATCCTTCAAACTGGTCCCTTCCGACATCACCAAAGTATATGAGATACAGTCTGGTCGTTCTTGCTTCTAAGGAGCATTCCAGCTGTACTCCTTCCAAGACAGATTTGTTCATTCTGCAGGCAGTCCATGGTATTTCCAGTATTCTTTGCCAACACCACAATTCAAATGCAACAATTCTTCTGCGGTCTTCTTTATTCATCGTCCAGCTTTTCACATGCATATGAAGTGATTGAAAATACCTTAGTCTGAGTTAGGCACACCTTAGTTTTCAAAGTGACATCTTTGCTCTTAGCACTTTAAAGAGGTCCTTTACAGCACACTTGCCCAATGCAATATGTCACCTGACTTCTTGATTACTGCTTCCATGGGCATTGACTGTGGATCCAAGTAAAATGAAATCCCTGACAACTTCAATCTTTTCTCCATTTATGGTGATGTTGCTTTTTGGTCCAGTTGTAAGGATTTTTGTTTTCTTTATGTTGATGTGTAATCAAGTGTACTGAAGACTGTAGTCTTTGATCTTCATCAGTAAGTGCTTCAAGTCATCTGCACTTTCAGCAAGTAAGGTAGTGTCATCTGCACATTGCAGGTTGTTAATGAGTCTTCCTCCAATCCTGATGCCACATTCTTCTTCATATTGGCCATCTTCTCAGATTATTTGCTCAGCATACAGATGGAATAAGTATGATGAAAGGCTACAGCCCTGACACCATCCTTCCTAATTTTAAACCATTCAGTATCCCTTGATCTGTTCCAGTGACTGCCTCTTGCTCTATGTACAGGTTCTCCACGAGCACAATCAAGAATTCACATTCTTCACAATGTTATCCGTAATTTGAATCCACACAGTTGAATGTCTTCTCACAGTCAACAAAACATAGGTAAACGTCTCTCTAGCATTCTTTGCTTTTAGCCAAGATCTATGGTATACTACAAAAAAAAACCCAAACCTAGAGTCATCGAGTTGATTACAACTTACAGCGACTGCCATAGGGTTTTCAAGGCTGTAAATCTTTACAGAAGCAGACTGCCTCACCATTCCCTGGTGGAGGGGCTGGTGGGTTCGAACCACTGACCTTCTGGTTAGCAGCTGAATGCGTTAATCAATGTGCCACCACAGCACCTTATGGTATACTAGTATCTCCATTATTTTCCGTAAGTGTGAAAAATGTTGAACTTAAAGATAAAAATATTCATGAGACTCTTATTCCAGCTGTAAGAGTATACTCATAAAACCCACGCACAGCTTCTTGGTCTGGGGAGGAGTTTGGTAGGCAATGTGCCCAGGGCTCCTAGAAGGGCTCTGCCATAGCACAACAGCATCTCCCCAAACTCACCAGGGTCTACCAGCCACCGGGACATGCCCTAGAGGCCCTGGCTTTGCTCCTGGTCTGTTCTCACTCCCCATGCAGCTGATGGCTAGTCTCTATAGTCACAGCATCACATGATGCTGACCTTGTGCCAAGGTCAAGGTGGCACCTTGCTGCCCTCCACGTACTGTACCTGCATCACACTGCACACCCACCCAAAGGTCTGCTCTCGCCCTATCTTTTGGTGGTATGAGTCCATAAAAAGACTTCCTATAGATATCCAACCCCAACATCAACACTCAGTGTTCCCAGACAGAGCTTTCTGAAGAACTTAGAAGGGGAAGATGTGCCCCAGACACTGGCACCTGCTTGAACCTGGTACCCAAAAGCATGTCGCTGTCTCCATGGACAGACATCCTTTCGTGACATTTGGCTTTAATTTGACACCACTTCAAATTCCTTCGTGGACTTGAATAATTACCATGATGCTCCCGAAGGGTGAAGCCCATCCTACGTGATAAGCATGGTGGTGAAGGACTTACCGTTGGCACTCGCCAGCATGCAGGATAAGCTCCTCATTGCTCCTGGCGCTGACAGTCAGCTCGTGCTCCGTGGAGTTAAAGACATCTAGGAGCAGGTGGCACTGCCGGGTACTGTGTTGAGAAGACAAAAGAAACTCAGAACCTCAGATACCACAGAGGTGAGCAACTGGCCTTCTTCCCTCCCCAAGGCCGCTCTGCTACTAGGGGTTGTGCTGAGTGCATCTTATACCACACCAAGGACCTGGACAAAGAGCATCCTGAGCCTGTCTGTGACCAGAGCTGAGACCTTCAAAAAGGGGTGTGAGCTTCAGGTCTGCCTTATTTCTAAGGTCCTGTGGACATGTGCTTGCAACCCAGCCCTGGTAAATAACAACAACAACCAAACAAGGCACCGGGCCCTGGTAAATGAACACACATTATGACTGTATGTGCAGATGCCTACCATGAGCTTCTCACAGCAGGGCGGCTTCCTGCTCATCTTAAAACCAAAGCAGGTCATGCAGGTCTACTCGGTCACCACCCACCTGACACCTCTCCAGGTGCTTTGTTCTCCTGTACTCCAGAAGGTGAAAAGGAAAACACTCAAATTCCCATCACCCCTCGCAGCAAGGGGTGAGCCATGTGGCAGAATTTTACCCAATAAGCTATAGGCTTCTGAAGACTTACTGTCTGGTCCCTTTTCTCCTCCCTAAAAATGACCTGGCTGCCTCAAATCTCAGCTACTATCTTGAGACCAATGAGGGCAAAACCCATCAGTGCGGGGTGGCAGAACAGAGGACAGAGGAGGCTGAGAAATGATGATATTGTGAGCAGTAAGAGGAACCCTGCATTTCCTTCCTCTCTCTGCACTGAGTGCTACTTGAGAAAAAAACCACACACTTCATTTCTGTCCATCACCATTGTTAGGTTTCTATTATAGTTGAATGTTTGCCTAAAACTAACTCCAGGTCCCCATCCCCGAGAATCATGGCTGGCACCGAGCAAGTAATCCATAGATGTTTGCTGATGGGTAGGGACTGACGCAGGCAGAGCAGCGGGCAACAGCGGAAGCCATTCTCTTCCAGGAGGAGATGGTGAACACTGCTCCATGGGGGAAAACAGACTTACGTGGAGCCTTTTTATCTTAGTGTGGCCTCAGCACATGGCCCTGCAAAGGGCATCAGGATCTCCAGATGTGTCTCCCAAAGTTGGAGGAAAGCCTTGGCGTGTTGTTAAAAGAAAGGCATGTGAAAGGGCAAGAGGAGGAGGACTGAGAACCAGTGCATTAGCAGCCATGGTGGCTGCACATGTGTCATTTCACCCCATGAGTGGTGTCATTGGGTTGTTTCCACGTGGGGACGAGGAGGCTCAGGAGATGGCAAAATGTGCTCAGTTAGGAAGCTGTTAAGTGGTGGGGTGATGACTGAGACCCAAAACTTAGACCTCAAACTCTAGTAACATCACAACACAGGAAGATCCATACTCCAGTCCTCACTCATCACTGCTGGTAGGTCCCAAAGACCAGGTCATTATGTGAAATGTGGCGTTATGTGAAAACGGAGGACGATGGATTCAGCTAAAGTGGAAGATGCCTACATCATTGCATACCTGCCAAATTACATGACTACATAACTGCCAAACCCCTGAGCTCATGGTCCAGCCAAGGTGACACATAACTTGAACCATCACAGCCAGCGTTACTCTTGCCCCGTACCTTAGCATTTGTTACTGCCAGACATAAAGCCTTAATGCACAAAATAGTAGGATAGTAGATTTCATTTATTGTCATAAATGTGAAAGGTAGGATAACGAGATAGTCAATAAGGGAGGAGTGCGTGTATTCCAAACCCACACCTTGTCCTTTGTTCCCTCCAGATAACAGAATGGGGTGCAGAGGGGTGCAGAAATGTCCCCAAGTGTTCACACACACTCATCATCATCAGAAGGCCACAGGGTCTCTGTAAAACATCAACTTTTCAAAATGTGTGTGTGGGACAACACTCATGGGAGGAAGGGCGAGGAGTGGCTCCACCATGCCTGTCACGCCCCACTTCATTCCACCGTGCAGACGCCATGCACGCACATCTGTCATATCTGTCACGCCCTACCACGCTGACACTGTGCACACATGTCTGTCGCACCCCACCCCACCAACACCGTGCACACACATCCATCACAGCCCACCATGCCAACACTGTGCATGCATGTCTGTCATGCCCTGCTGCCTTGTAGACACCGTAACATCTTGAGAAGCATGGCCCAACAGTGGTTGGTTCTAGGCTTTTTGGATAGAGTGTCTTCTGCGGAGGGTCAGCACTTGGAATTTTCACTTGCTCTAACAGCTGTCTCCAAAGGGCCTCTTCACTCAGCTCACAGAGAAATGAGCTCCACAGAGGAAGACCTATCCTGCCTTTATCATAACTTCCTGAACTCTTTAACCACAGCAGAATCTTTCATCAGGGAAGGGAACTTGTAAAACATTTATCGGAGGAGAAAAATTGAAATAATTTTAAAGAGAGGAAATAAAAGACTCAAAATCATGTTGTCTCGCACAGAGAACATAGTGCTCAGGACGCTGCAGGACTGAGCAGCGTGCACACACCCCTCTCTCCAGCTCCTGGGTGAGTGGGGACACCTTGCTACGGTGTTGCTGTCCTTCTCGCTACTGGCGCTGGCATGGACTGGTGGGTCTCTGCCTTCTGTCTGCTGTTTGTAAATCAAGCCCCCTTCCCAAACTGCAGCCGCAGCTTGTGCCCAGCAAATGGCCACCTCTTTCAAGTGTCTTCCCAGACCACGCTGGCTGGCTGTCTTTAAGGCTCAAAGACCTCTGTTCGGTTCACTTTTCCTTCTTGTTTTCTTCCTTCCTTCTTTTCCTTCTTTCTTGATCTTTTTGTTCCTAGATCCATCTTTGTGAAGGATAGGGAAGTCCAGGAAAGCTTGCTGGAAGAACTGAGATGAGAACAGTCTCTGAGGGACAAGGGCATTTGCCTGGTGTGGGTAAGAAAAGGGGCAGGTGCCTAGCACCTGGCAGAGCACACTGAGGTAGTTACAAATGGAGAACATTAGTGATGGGGACAAGGCTGCCAGGTGGAGGAAATGCACGTTCCAGGCAGAGAGCGGGGTGTGAGAATCTGACTCAGTGTATTGACTATGTGCATTCCTCAGCCTGGAATTGTTGTTGTTGTTGTTGTTATGTGCCGTCGAGTCAAACCCGACTCATAGCGACCCTTCCTTGGGTTTCCGAGGCAGTATCACTACGGAAGTAGGATTGCCCAACCTTCCTTCCGAGGAGTGGCTGGTGGGTTTGAACCACCAGCGGTCTGGTTAGCAGGCAAGTGTCTTAGCCACTATGCTACCAGAGCTCCCCAGCCTGGAATAGGGACTATTAATTAATTCATCTAACATGCATCTACTGAGTACCTACTGTGTGGTGCAATCGTCAAAAGGTCCACAGTTTGAACCCAACAATTCCACGTAAGAAAAACCTGGTGATCCACTCTCATGAACAGCACAGCCTAGGAGAACCTGTGGGCAGTTCCACTCTGTCCTCTAGGGACGCTGTGGGTCAGAATGGACTCCATGGCAGTGGGTGTGGTTTGGGCTTTGCTTTCATGAAGACTGACAGCCTTGCAGACCCTGGGGAGAGGTTCTACTGTGCCGTCTAGGGGCGCTGTGGGCTGGAATGGACTAGATGGCACACAACCATACAACAGCCTACTGTGTGCCAGACACTGTTCTAGGCCCTTGCAATACAGAGGTGAACAGGAAAGACAGGATCTCTGCTTTCATGGAAATTGTATCTTCCGGAGTAAGAAGGGCTGTGAAAGATGGGAAAGTTAACCATTTTTAAGTAATTTTACATTGTCATATTTTATAATATGAGAAATAAAGCAGTTTGAAGCAAGTTCAAAAAATTGCTGCATATAGCATGAATGCGCACACAAACGCACCAGATAAAAGTATTTAGAAAATAAAACTTTTAAGAAGACTTAATATTTTAAAGTCATCCCTTTCCAAATTTATTATGTAAATTCCATTTTAAAAAATCCAAGACGCACTTTCTCTGTTTGCTTGTTTGTTTTGGGTGAAGCAGGGCAAGGGAGCTCTCAAGGGAAAGAGAAAGGGCCCAGAACCTGCAGAGCAGCGATGAGAAAGGTCTCTGGAGGGGTCTGACCTGAGAGTCAGCAAGCACTGTCCTGCAGCTGTGGTCCTGAAGACAGTGGCATGTACTGGTGCAGTGCTTAATAAACAGATTAACGACAGAAGAAACAGGCCCATGAATATAAAGGAACCCGTTATGTAACTGAGGGGGCACTTAGCTGATGGGGGAAAGATTCAATAAGTATGGACACAGTGGTTATTCACATAGAAAATCATCCGCCCACACCATGTACTTTGGACATGTGAGCAGGAGGGACCAGTCCCTGGAGAAGGATGTCATGCTTGGCAAAGTAGAGAGTCAAAGAAAAAGAGGAAACCCCTCAGCCAGGTGAACTGACACAGCGGCTGCAGTGATGGGCTCCAACAGAGCGGTGACTGTGAGGACAGGGCAGGACCGGGCAGGGTTTCCTTCTGCCTTGTGTGTGGTTGCTGTGAGTTGGGGTCGACTTGAGGACACCTAACAACAATCACCTCACATCATGAACACAAAGAAATTCCAAACAGATTGAAGAACTAAATGGAAAAAAGCAATACTTTCAGATCTTTAGAAGAAAATGTACATGAACAGCTTATGGCTTTAGATGAGAAGAACGTTTCTCAAATGAGTTAAAAGACATACAAAACTGAAAGGAACATAAATGCATGGTGACACTACAATTAAGAACTTAAACACAATGGAAAACAGTCAAAACAAAAGCAAAGGTAAGTCTCGTGAAAAGGGAGATGAAACTCATCAAACTGAGAAAGGACCAGAGTTCTGAATTGATAAAGAACTCCAGTAGATCAGCAGGAAAGAAATTTCCCAACAGAAGATCAAGTGGGACCAAGAGTGAGTAGTTTAAAACAGAGGGAAACCAATGGCCAATAAACTTGAAGAGAAGCCCAGTCCAACTATTAATCAGGGAAACAGACATAAAACCCAAAGATATGTTCACACCAAACATACTGGAAGTATCTGTAAAGTTCTCCAG